GCAGTAGCCTCGAGATCAGGCGCCCGAGCTGGCGTTACCCCATCAAATGCATTCACAATGGCGGTAGCTGTAACTGAACCGTGCCGCCAGAACTGTGACATCAGCTGATCATAGTTCACCCCTAGCATCTCCATGCAGTACGCCTGGCATTTTTTCGAATCGGGGTCGTCTGTCACTAGGTGTGCATCACGGGAACCCCCAAAATGGCCCGAACATCGTGCAACATGATACTCATCTCACCAAAAGGCATGTGAAACGAGTTTGTATCAGGCTGCCAGCGCTCCACAAATGCCGAAAGAAGTGGAGTGTCTAGGTGACCATGCATGGAGGTGGCCAGATGTGACAACCCACTCTTAATTATAAGATCGCGGGGAGCATCACCCATCCCTTCGAGCCAATCCTTCAACTTTGCGTGCGCTTCCCGTCTATTCTGGCACTTATGTAGCATGCCTCTAGCATTTTCATCGGTCCAAAGAAGGGAGGCTACGTGCCCTAGAAAGCTAGGGATAACACTCCCGTCAACGGGGCCACCGGGCACTGCAGCTTTAACGATTCAAGGCTCATCACTCTTAGCTCGTTTGCTACTCGAAGCTGTATTACAATATATATATATATATATATATATATATATATATATACAACATATTGTAAATGATTGTATCAATGAGATGCTATTATTAAATAAAAAAAACTAGTGTACTGCCCGTGCGCTGCACTGTAGGTTTATTTCTCAAAACCTTTTTTCTAAACTTTATTTTAAATAATTTTCCTTAAATTTTAAGCATTTGATTATAATGAAAAAAAAAAAGAACTACAAAGTATACAAAAAAATCATATACTATTACCTGTGGAGGATGTAGTGCCCGCATAACGGCCCCCAGCCTGCCGTGGAGGATCACGTCGTCCAGCTCGAGCAGGTGCTGGTGGTGGAGAAGGAGATGGAATGTCCTGCTCCTCCTCCTCCTGCTCGTATGAATGGGCATAGTCCTCATCATCATCATACTGTCGACTCCTGGGTGCTGACTCATAGGAATAATCCTGCCGTTGAGCAACATGTATCGGAGGGAGGGGTGTCGCACTGTCAGGCATGAATGAGCCGCGGGGCTGCGGTCCACTCTGTATCGGATGATCGAAGGCTCTCGAACTGCCAGCCTGGCCAGCGTGACCCATTTGTATAATGCGAGCCTCAATCTCCCTCTCCTGCCTCTCCCAACGAGCATCAGCATCTACAACGCGACTCTTTGTGTGTCGCGGTCCAGAACCCTCAATAATTAACCGTTCCCACTCTTGTTGATTGGTGGGTCTTCGCAAAGTTCCATCAGCCTAAAAATTATTAAATTCAATTTAGTAATTATTCTTAAACACAACATTAAATAATTACAATTTTTTATTATATAGTTATACAAACCTATTATAATTTTTTCAACTTATATTACACTAATAATTATAATTTTACTAATATATTATATATATAATATAGCAATACTATTATAGCAATATTTCTGATAATTTGACCGAATATATAAGAATTTCTAAAAATTTCTGAAAATATAACAAACTGTACAATTTTTGTTTAATCAATATTTCTCATGCTACTTTAGCTACATTTATGCTTAAAACTAGTTATATGGCACTGTACAGTTTGCTTCAATTGAATAAAGTATATATATAAGTATATAACTATAACCATTTTATTTTGCTTTTTTTCCCCCTTTATGTGAAAATTAAATTTTGTTAATATTTGATGTATAAGGAAGACTAAATGGCATTCACAGTCAAGGAACAACTTTCCTGACTGCATGGAGAAAACTCTAACGTGGTATAATATGTTAAATTTATCAATATATATTAATTAAATTTATTAATATATTTAATTTTATTAATCTATATAAATAAAATATATATTAATATATATATTGATATATTATTTAGTAATCTATTTTAATATATTATATTATATATATATAATATATTATTTTTATTAATATAATTTAATATATACTAATATATTATTTAGTTTTTTTTAATTAACTATAAAATATATACTAATTATTAAAATTTTTAAATTACGTATATAATATATTTAATTTTATATATAATATATAATTTTATATTACTAAATAAATATAATTCATTATATAATATATAATTATATATTAATTATTAAATATATTTTAATTCATTATAACATTTAAAAAAATATATATTTCATTCTAGTTAATTATAAAATATATTAATATATATTAACATAAATTATATATTATTATATAATAATTATTAATTTTATAATTAATAATAATTATTATTATTAATTATTAATAATTTTATTAATTATTAATTATATATAATTAATTATATTTCATCTGCGCGAGTGAACGGAGGCCGCACGAGCCGGCCTCGATCCTCTTCCATCTGCGCGAAGCCCGGCCTCAATCAGCTGGCGGCCGGCCCAATGGAGGCCGCCGGCTCTAAAAAAAAAGCATTCAAAAATCGCCGCCGCCGGACCAAGGAGGCGGCGAGCCGTCCAGCCGCCGGGCCAAGGAGGCGGTCAGATATGCGGCCGCAAGTGAACGGAGGCCGCACGAGAGCCGGCCTCGATCGTCTTCCATTTGCGCGAAGCCCGGCCTCAATCCGCTGCCGGTCGGCCCAATGGCGGCCTCGATAGGCCGCCGGCTGTTAAAAAAAAAAAAAAATCGAAAAAAATACCTGCGGGAAGAATATCTTCTTGCCGGCTTGAATCTGTTGTCCGACCATTTTTTCTGATGAAAACGAGATCTCTAAAGTGAGAGAGCAGCGTCTTTTTTTTTTATATATTATGTGAGTTGAGAGAGAGATAGCAGGTTTAATGATGGGGAAGGAGGTGGGGTTTCGACTTTCGAGACTTATCTCAAAATCTCTCTCGTTTGTTTTCTTCTTTTGACTTATTTAAAAATCTTTTTCGTTTTTTTTTTAATGAAAGGGCAACATAATATTTTGTGGGGGCGGCAAGTAGTAATAAAGGGGCGGTATTTAGCGATTCAGTTTTAAAAATTAGGCCAATTTTAACTTCAACGTGTCCCTGAAATTTTTTGCTGTATTGAATTTTGAAGATTTTATTATCGACGATTTGAATGTTATTTTATGACGAATTTTGTATATGATATAGTTATATGTGCTTTGTATTCTCAGAAAAAAAATTGGGGTAAAAAATCTATAGATGCAATTTCTTTTTTTCCGTTTTCAAGTAAGTATGTACAGTGCAGAAAAGTTTTTGTAATCTGCAGCATATTCAATTTTAGAAAATTTTTATCTGACATATAAGATATGATATTGCTATGATATTTTGATATACCGTGGTATGTTTGGTTTGAGTCCTAGCAAATTTTCTAGATTTATTTGACATCACAGAGTATTTATATAAATTTATTAATCTAGTATGTATACAAAAACCTGAAAGATGACAGATTAGGTGATTTGAGTTATAAAATCTGTTTTGGTTATATATTGAGCATATATGGACTTGAANTATATGTAAGTGAAATTTGGTCATTATTGAACTATTATATGTTCGTTTAAAAATTTTGGACTAAAGGATGGATTATATAATATGCAAGATTATAGTTTTACTGACATGATTTGAAAATTTTAAAAAGTATTTCTATTTAATGTCTTTAGTGCTATAAAAATTCATGTGATATTATAACTATGTCTATTATATATGAAAGGAAGATTATATACAAAAAATGGTTAAAATATTGGACATATATTATTGATGCTACATGCTCAATTTATGATCATCTTTATAATATGGTTGGATGAGAAGATAGAATTGTGCAATTATGAAAATGATGAAGTATTATTTAACGAATATCTATCCATCTAAATGTTTAAGATTCAATTAAATCCTAGTAGTCCCAGAAGGACACAAAAATTAAGTATTGATGAATAGAATAATTAAAACAATGTATCGATTGTCTATAAGATGTCAATAAATATTTCATTTAACGAGCATGCTGCTGAGCCGTGTTATTGTGGAGTTCATGCTGCCTTTATGTTCAATTTTAAGTGGTTAAAGTGCATGCTAGATTTGTTATGTTGTTAAACAGAGTAAAGAGGCTTGTTATGTGTTGTTGTTTTGGCCTTAGTGTTTGCTCAAGAGTATAAGAGAATTTTTTTTTCCAACGATATAAAAAACTCCAATAAAAACGGACCAGAAAGGTCAATGTACATGGGAAAAACCCCAAATCCTGAAAACACTGAGAGGGCAACACTAATGCTCCCTAACCGAAACACAAACACAATCCATGACATAAACATCCACCCAACTGCTAACATGAATGAACCAAAACCAGAAAATAGCATATTCCTTACAGCAATCAAAAACTCAAACAAACACACTATAAGAACCATAGCAAACAAAAATACAAAAAAGATAGATCACTGACACAAGACCTAACCTATCTAATCTGCATCTCTATCAGCCAATGTTGTTGTTGAGTTTGAAATATTGCCAGTCCATCATAGCAGCTTTGATAATCCAGATTTCAGACTGCCATTTTCCCTCAAATACCCAGAGGTTTCTTGCTCTCCACAGCCACCATAAGATGTAGGTAGAGAGCTGGATTCTGTCCTCAACACACTCATCTGTATCCATAGTACTCACCCACCACCACCACCACTGCTTGAGAGTCATCTGCTCATTCTGCACACTGTTCCAGCTGACTGGTGATAATTTCCATACTGTTCTGGCCTTTCTACACTAGAACAGACTATGCTCTTGTGTTTCTTCTTCCTCAACACAAACCCTGCAGATGGTTTCTACTTCCATACCTCTAGCCTACAAATTGCTACTAACTGGGAGGATATTAGAAAAACTCTGCCAAATGAAATGCTTCACCTTTTCCCATGACTTTCAAATTCCAGCATCTTTTTTTGGCTTTCTTGTTCCCTCTAGCCATAGCACTAGATTCAACCACTGATCTTAGCCCCAACTTTGCAGACAGAAGATTTGAATAAGCTCTCTAGACTGAAAGCTTCCCCTTGAACAAAAAAGAACAGTGCCATTGATCTGCTGTTCTGGGTTTTAAGGATTTTATCTGTAAGATTTTCTCAGCATCAGCCTCAGTAAACAGAACTCTGACCAGAGTTTTGTCCCACTTCACTCCACCTGCAAGCAACAGATCCTTAACACAGAATAAATTCCCATCCACTTCCACTCTCAACTGAGGTTTCCTACAGTGTAACCCTGGTACCCAGTTGGCCTCATTTAACTTAGTGTTATGCCCATTTCTGATCACAATACTCATTTGCTTTTGCAACCCAGGCAGGAAAGTAGCCCATGAATTCCATAACCAAGAGGCACCCCCAGTATTCTTCTAATCAGAGACAGAACAGTCTTTGAAATATTTGCTTTTCAAAACTCTGGACATAAGGATATCTAGCTGCTCAATGAGCCTCCACAGTTGCTTTAATATCAAAGCTTTGTTAAACAACTGCAAATCTAGAAAACCCAACCCCCCTTCATCTTTGGGCATAGTCATTTTTTATCCCATGATAACCAGTGCAAACTCTGTTTCATTAAATCCCCCTTATTCCACCAGAATCTAGCCACAATCCTGCACACTTCTTTACACAACATCACAGGCAGAATAAAGCAAGACATCACAAAAACAGGTAAAGCACAAAGAACATACTTCACCTAGGTTTCTTTACCTGCAGTTGATAAAAAAGTATTCTTTCAGCTACAAATTCTATCCCTCACAGCATCCACTACAAACTAAAAAGTGGCAATTTTAGAAGCCCCACCCAAAGGTAATCCCAGATACTTTGATGATCTTTTAACCACCATACCATTTAAAATAGAAGAAATAGTAGCCTGCAGACCGTCAGAACTATTCTTGCTCAGAAACAAAGATGATTTATGCAGATTGACTTTTTGACGAGTAAAAATTTGATATTTCTGAAGGATGTCCAACAGCAACTCAGCATGAGCAACATTAGCTTTGCAAAATATAAGGGCATTGTCAGCAAAGAGTAAATGTGATAGCATAGGCCCATCCCTAGAAAGTTTAATCCCTCTAAACAGTCCAGAACTGATCTTAGATTTCAGATATGCAGAAAAAACTTCAGATACCAAAATAAAGAGGCTGTGTAATAAACACATTTGCACCAGATTTGTGTCTGTGTAAGAAATGGAAAATTTCCTGTGCAATAACCACATTATCCAATAACATCTTCATGGAACAAAAGCTGTTTGTTCTGGACTAATGCAAGCATCTAAGTAGAACTTCAATCTCTCAGCCAACAATTTAGCAATAATTTTATATAAGACCCCACAGAGGCTAATAGGTCTGAAATTTGTCAATGCTTCAGGAAACATACACTTAGGAATCAGAGTGATAATAGTATGTTTCCAATTTTTCAATAAATGCCCAGTTCTAAAAAAGCTATTCACAGCTTTGCACACATCATCTTTCACAATATACCAAAACTTTTGAAAAAAGAAGGCAGACATACCATCATCTCCAGGAGACTTTTCTGGAGCCATACTAAACACAGTGGCCTTGATCTCCTCCTCATCAACAGCTCTGATCAGATCATTGTTGAGTGGAACAGAGATAGAAATAGGAATATGCTGGAGCAGCTCCTCACTCCCACTGGACCCCTCAGATGAGAACAAATTGGAGTAGAAAGTTGAGATATGTCTCTCCATGGCCTCTTGAGTATCACAAATTTCACCAGTGCCAGTAATGAGCTTGGATGTATAATTTTTCTCCTTCTCTGTGCTGTAAATGCATGAAAAAACCTGGAATTCCAGTAACCAGCTTTGAGCCATAATGCTCTGGATTTGGCTCTCCAAAACCATTCCTCCCCCTGATGAGCTTGATCAAGTTCAGATTTAAGAGACACCCACTCCTCCCAATCTCTATGTTTCCCTTCCTCCCTCAGAGCCTCCAATTTTGAAGTAAGCACTGATATAGCTTTCTCACTGTTTCTGTGAATGGGTTTATGCCAATCTAGAAGAGCCATTCTAGTATTTTTGATTTTTTGATGAAATTAAAACATAGCTGACCCATCCACATTCACTTGCCATCCATTCATCACTGCCTCTTGTACCCCTTCCATACCAGCCCAAGAGCTGCTAAACTGGAATCGTTTGTGTCTTTTGCCCAGCTCCTTATCAGTGTAAAAAAGAATGACATTATGGTCTGAGGCTGTTTTGTAGAAATTGGAGGCTACCATATTTGGAAATCTAGTAAGCCATTCAAGGGACACATAAATTTTGTCAAATCTCTCTTCCACATAACCATCTCCAGCTCTGTTATTCCCCCAGGTAAAGAAAGATCCCATTTGAGCCACCTCCTGCATCTCCATATTCATAATGAACTCCTGGAAACCCACAAAGCTACTAAGGCTCCTTCTCACTCAACCTCTTTTCTCCTCATTAGTGAATATATCATTCCAGTCATCAGCCATCAACTAGCTGTTTCCCCACTTCCCTTTACTGTCTTCAAGGAATTCCCATTGCCTTCTCCTTTCTCTTCTATCAGTAATCAGGTAAGCAAAGATGAACCATCCCCAGTCAGATATCCCAACCCCTTTTAACTCCACTTGAAGAAAGAATTCATTACCTACAATTTGTTTGATCTCAATGAGATTATCCCACAGCAGCAATAACCCACCTCTAGTGCCATTTGGACTCTCTAAATGCCATCTATCTTGATAGCCAAGCTTTCTACACACAGTTTTAGCAAACTTCATAGGCTTCTTAGTTTCAGATAAAAAAACAATATTTGGGTGGTGGATTCTTCTAGAATCCTTTATCTGGTAAACTGTAAAGGGCCCACCCAGTCCTCTACAGTTCCACACCATGGCTTTCATTGATCACCTTGGGGCCATTTTTGGCTGGCTTTCTCCACCAAATGTTGTTCACAGTTAACCTTCTTCATTTTTTCATTGAGGGCTTCTGCATCTTTGTCACCCCCTTTATAAATAACTAAAGCTCTACTTCTCTTGAGAGTTTCTGATTGCTTGCTGCCACGGACTCTTGGAAGTCTACTATTTCAACTATCTCTTCTTTTCCACCCAGCCCTAGACCTCTTTATCAAATCATCTTTACATAAATCCCCTACCTCAAAATCCACTATAGCCTCAATTGTTTGCACAAACTCTTCAATTTCCATTGTGCTCCTATCATCACCCTCACCTGATTTGGGAGCAAGGGTGCCCTAGGCTCAGATAAGTCCACAATCTTATGAATTTCCCTTTTATTAGCAATTGGGCTGCCCTTCTCCTCATTCTTTTGTGGAGTATCCTCAATAACCTTATTACTCCTGAAAAACTCCTGTTAACCCACTTTTGTTTGATTATTATCTGAGACCAGAGATTTCTGAACTGGAATGTTGTTAGGATGAGTAGCTTTCTCTCCTGAGCTATCAGAATGTATACTTCTTCCCCCAGCAAAAGTCTCAGATATCTTAAGACACTCCCCAAACTGCCATAACACAGTTGTTCTCAATATCTTCTAACCTCCTACTGCAGCTCCTATCAAGGTAACCAATCATCCCACAATAATAGCAATGATTTACTAACTTCTCATACCTGAATACCACCATCACTTTTTGATTCCCTAGCTTAATGGAAGTGCACCTGGGAATTGGTTCTTTGATATTTATTGCCACCAGGATCTTCAGGAAACTCCCCACATCACCACCCACTTTGCAGACGACCACATTCTTAACTTTGCTAAAAAATTTCCCACTTTCAGACCAACCTGGGTGCTCATCCAGTTCAATGGAACATTAACACCTGAACCCATATGGTAATCTCATCAAAGCAACTATGCTTGCTGTGCAACCCATGGAACCATTCCTTTAAAATTAGATATTGGTTCCCATACATCCAGTTATGACCAGCAACCACTTTCTTTTTGTCCTCTTGGGAAAGAAAGATAAATTGAATTTTTTTTTTCACTAATTTCTTTCACCTCTATCGAGTGTTGCATTCTCCGGATATCACCCATGGTTCTCTTAACTCCCAACAGACCAGCATGCCTATCCCCAACCACTTTCCCAAACAAACTCCTGTTACACTCCTCATCACTGGATTTGATATCATCTCCCGTGATTTCTGCCTCCCCCAATTCTTTTGTCGATAGAGACATCTTAAAAAGTTTTTGCAATTCCCCATCATCTCCTTCCCCTGCCTTTGCCATCTCCGGTGGAATACCCTCCATATAGCAATAACACGATTCTCAAATCAGCAGAAATTCACAAAAACTGAACCCTAATTTGGGTATAACACCACCCCCTCAAATGAAACTCACATAAACCCTCAAAAACAGGAAAAGAGTACGTAAATCGAAAGTAGAAGTCCACCGACGTCGGAATTTACCTCCCACCCGAGAAAATTTAGCTCTTACCCAAGAAAAATTAGCTCTCACCTGAGAAAATATTAAAATTTTGTTCAGTATAAGAGATTAGAGAAAGAAAAAGGAAACATGTTTTATGTGTTGTTTCGACGTATTTTTGATAAGTAGTATGTTTACAAGCACACTCGCCATTTTATGTTAAGCTGTTACTTTAATACTGACGATGTTACTTTTTCGTTGAATTTACCATTATATCCATACTTTATCAACGAATTTACCATTATACCTTCGCTGTCAATATGTGGACTTAAAATGAAATTCCCAATAGTGGGGATTGGACCCAAAACCTTTGGGTTATAAAAAACATCTCCCACTAACTGGGCTACTATGTATTTAGTTATAAATGTGATTCTATCAATTTATATCATAACGTATAACGGAAATATCATAATAATTATAGAATCTAAATTATAAATAATATAATAATTAAGTATATAGATTCTAAATAATGTAATCATTAAATATATATATTTAAATAATAAATAATATAATAATTAAGTAAATAGATTATAAATTATAAATAATGTAAGAATTAAGCAAATATATCCCAAATTATAAATGATATAATGATTAAATAATATATTCTAAATTATAAATAATATAGCGATTCATTAAATATATTCTAAATTATAAATTATATATTAAATAAGAAAATATATTCTATATTTTAAATAATATAATAAATAAATAAATAGATTTTTTAATAATTTAATAAATATATTCTAAATTTTAAATTATATAATAATTTAGTAAATAGATTTTATAATAAATGAATAAATATATTCTAAATTATAAATAATATTATTATTAAGTAAATATATTCTAAATTATAAATAATATAATAATAATAATAATTATAAATTATAAGTATATAATAATTCAATATATATATTTTATAATAATTCGGTAGATAGATTCTAAATTATAAATAATATATTAGAATCTATTTACTCAGTTATTATAAAATATAAATACTGAATTATTATATTACTAATAATTTATAATTATCATTATATTATTTATAATTCAATAAATATAATATAAATTATAATATTTATAACAATTGAATATATTAATTCTAAATTATAAATCATATAATAATTACGTAAATATATTTTAAATTATAAACACTATAATAGTTAAGTAAATAGATTTTATATTACAAACAAATCGTAAGAACGTCTCCTCCAAATCCCCAAAATCCCGCCTCCCCCAAATCTCTCGGCCTCCATCTCTTCTCGCAGGTAAACTCCCTCAGCCGGCGTTCGTAATCGTCGGTGGACGATCTCCTCCGCTTATCCATGGCCGCGGCCCTCCCGTCCTCTGTCTTGTCGCCACTGAATTAGGGCTAGGGTTCCGGCAGAATCATTTTCCATTCAAAGACCGCCGGAATTAAGTGGTTCGGGGCATGGCGTGGTGTGGTCGTGTGTGGATGATGCTTGTGTCGCCTAAATCGGCTTTGGTCGGGGCGCCTCTTGTCGGCCTGTTTTGGAGGGTTGCCGTTGGTGGTCTTCCAGTTTCCGCAGGGGTCAGGTCGCCGGCTCCTCGTGTGTGCGAGGATGGCGGGTCGGGGCTACTCCTAGCGTGTCGGGTTGATTGGAGGTGCTTCGTTTGGGCATGGTTGGAGCGGACGAGCAGAGAAGCCCGTGGTCCCCTTTCTCCCCTTGCTCGATTTCCGAGTTTTGGGGGAGGCCGACGGTCGCCGGAGTAGGCTAGTAGTGTTAGGCTGCCTTGGTTGGGTGTCGGATCGGCTAGTGGTGTTAGCTGGTGGAGTGGTGTTCGTGGTTTTTTGCGGCTGGAGTGCGGGTCGTGTTCTCGGTTTGTTTTTGCGGCTGGAGTACGGGTCGTGTTCTCGGTTTGTTTTTGCGGCTTCGGTCATCGTCTTGTAGGCCTTATGCAGTGGTGGGCGTGGTATCGGAACTTCGGAGCTCTCCTCGGAATCGACTTTGTCTGCTGTCTTTTTCGGATGTACCTGCTGTGGGAGGCTGTTATGTGTGTGTAGTTGCTTTTAGTTATTGTGTTTTTGTTTATTTATTTTCGTTTAGTCGTTTGTGTTGGTATTTATGTTAATTGTTGTGTTTTAGGTTTGGGCCGTTGGCCTCAGTCTGCTCGATTGTGAATTTATTATCCTTTTGGAACCACACACTCGAGCATTACCCCGTTGGGGCCGTTTTAGTTTTGTGTCTTAGTGTTGAGTGGTTATTTCCCTGTTAGGGTCGGTTCTAGGTGGGCTTCATCCTGTCTTCTCATGTTTATTCAGCTGGTGGCTGCGTGTTGTTAGCTGGTGGTTGTAGTTTTGCACATTTGTGCCCTTATATAAAATTTCTATCGTTCCGGATAAGATTAAAATTTTTATAAATATTTATATTTATTCATATTTCAAAATAATTAAAATAATCAAAACTTATTTATATTATTTGAAGCTCATAACAAAGGATACTTGATATTTTAATTACTTTTTTTAATTCTAATTTTATTTTATTTTTATTATACATTTACAAAAATTTAAAATAATTAAACTGAACAAATAATAAGTACTTAAATTATTTATTACAAATTTGAAAATAAGATTTTTATTGAAAAAAATAAAATTTTTATATTTATCAAACATGTAAAAAAAAGATAAAACAATATAAAGACTAAATAAAAAAATAAATACATATCATATATAACTATTGAATACAAATATTTTATTCACAAATTACTACTTTAATAATATATTATATATAGAAGTATCATTTTATTTTATTACAAATAAATTTAATTGAAATTAATTTAATTTAGCTTAATTTTATTTATATAATTACTTTATTTTGTGGTTGTTTTTTTTTCTTTTTAATTTTTTGTTTGATTAAGTTTCTCGTGTTCTGTTATTTTAAATGAATGTGTGTTAGATATGTACTATACAATGATGTTGGCAGGTCTTGCCTATTGAGCTTTTGGCCCGAGTTTGAATTTTAGGAGCAGCAAAACACATTATTTTCCGCATTATTTAGACGGAGAAAGGGAAATCGTGCAACAGTTAATTAATACAAGAGGTATGATACCTTTAAATAAATAAATAAATGAACAAACTATACGCCATGATAGCTAGTCAACTCCATTTAGTTTAAAAAAAAAAAAAGTATCGTTTACTTGAAAGAATATATTAGTAGCTTTCAATTTCCATACGCAACAACACTCCCATTGGCTCTATATAGAGATTTTTCTATGATTTGTCTTGTTTTTGGAACTAATGCGGGCCGGGCTTATGGTATTTGGACAAAATGTTCTAACAGGCTGGAAAATAAAGATAAGGAATCCGAGAACAAAGACATGGGAGGTACGACAATTAACAAAATAAAGCCAAACCCATTCATTTTGGCTTTAATAATTTGAATAATAAGTTTATAATATTATTATTGTTGTTGTAAAAGATCATGATTCAGTATATTTATACATCATAATTTTGTTCCCTCTACAGTTAACAAAAAAGATTTACTTAAATCTCAGTTTGTTGCAATGAGATTCGTACGTAGATATTGATTATCATACATAGAACCGTAGCCTTATATATTATTTTTTTAAAGATAATTCCTTTCAGATTCGGAGATAGATATTGACTATCACACATAGATCCATAATATTAATTTATAGTTTTCTTAAAGATCTTCCCTTCAAAGTTTCGTACACTCTTTTTTCTTGTAACCAAACATTCGTATTTCTTTCCTCCCAAAATTTTCAATAAATTTGTATAACTAAAATAGACAACTTTGTCTAAACTTAAAAAATAAAATACAAAAATTGAAAAAATAAATATTTACAATCATTATAATCACCATCGTGCACACTTAAATAATTCANTTCGTTATGTACGACCTAGACAATAAATTCTAAATAGAGTGAATATTTTTTTTTTCTTACGCATATAGTGATGGCAAAAGTACCTTTAATAATTTTAAATAAACAAGTATTCACTAATCACGAACACATTCCTTCCCTGAACCCGTCGACGGAACCCTAGATTCTCCGGCGAGGGTTTTCAACAAATAATCCAAATCCGCCTCTCTTATCACGATCGTTTTCTCATCATCGACCCCTCGATCGAGCTGTTTCTGCAAATCGGCTGGCTTCCTCAGAACCAATCTTTTCCGCCTTTTTGGAGCCGGCGGCGGGCAGCTGAGGACGACTGCCGGAATCTTGTGCTCCTCCGATGTCGGAGTTTTATACCCATCATCGGTATTATCTTCGATTTCAGAATTTAAAGCTACACTGTTGTTTTCTTCTTCTTCCTTTTCTTCCCTTTTGACGTGTTCTTGACTGGAATTGCAAGAATTAGTGTCATCCTTAGACATGGTAGTTTGAGAAGAAAAATAATAGAATTTGGAAAATAAAAATAAAAAGGTCAAGTTAGACGATATGTTTAGGTTTTAAGGGGTGGAGGGAACTTGTTGGAGGAGAAGTTGACAATGAGTTTGGTTCTTGATTTATATATATATATATATATATATATATATATATGACGAATGGNATATGCTATATTTATTTCATTTAAATATATTTATTTTATTTGTTAGATATGGAACAATCTTGTGTTGCGTTTGAAGTAGGATTGCTTATGGCCTTAAATCTCCTCATGAAATCTACCTTATTCGTTTATTCTCTCAATTTGCATGTAGGAGACAAGATTTTTTCCAACTTGGATGGATAACTATGTATTTTGAATGGATTTGGACCATATATATCCTTTCTCTATTCTTTTTAGCCTTAATATTAGCTTATGAATTCCTATGTTATTGTCATATAGGAATTATGACATTATTGACAATAGTTATTAAATTATTATTTCATCGGAAATTTTCATCTGGAATTGAAAAGCCTTTTGCTTCGATGCGCACTCACTACAAGAGATGAAATTCCAACGGAAATATATTTCAATAGAATTATTCCAACGGCAATTCCAATGTATATTCAATGTTATTATTTTCTTTAGAATTTTTCAATGGATTCCAACAGAAATTCCAACAAAACTATTCCGTTGGGATGAGTTTTCAACTGAAATTTCCGTTAGATTTTGACGATTCCATCGGTAAATTCTCCAACGGGGTGGAAATAAAAATTCCAACGGAAATTGCATATTACAACGAAAATTCCTATGGTAAAAGCCGTTGAAAATATAGTTGTTGAAATCATCAAATTGCATCTAAAATTCCAATGAAAAACACATCCAACGTAATATTTTTGTTGGAATTTTCGTTGAAATTATTCCAACGGAAACTATACTATTGGAATATCAGTTGGAATTTTTATTGAAATATGTTACCATAGGATTTTTTTGTTCGAATATAACAATTTTTTTGTAGTTACTAGTGTGAGTACAATAATGCTAATATAAATATTTATACCTATTTTTTTTTAAAAAAATAAAAAATAATTTGTTATTTAAGTTCCAAAACTTCTTAAAGAATTATATTGTTATTATATTTAAAATTGCATCCGTTCCTTATACGATACCCTCCTATATTATTAGGTATACTACCTAATTGAGTTGATGGATAAATTTACTTAATTAATAAATGTTTTTTTAGATTAATAATATTGATAAAATAATTGAATTTTTATTGTAAAGATAAATGTGTAATTATTTATATATGCAATATAGATGTAAAATTGGTGAAAATATTATTAATTTGATATATAAGTATGATAAGAAATTCAGGGTTATCAACTTTTAAAATATCACTACAAAAAAGTTGTCATATTCTAATGAGTTCAATGCAAATTAGAACAGATACTCCAGTAGTATATCTTCTCATCACTCCAACGAAAGTATTTGGGTTGGAATTAATTTTCTATCGAAATTTTAGTTGGAACCATTGGAATGAGTTCTAACAGTAATATATTCCAACGCATATTCCAATGTATATCTTCCTATCATTCCAAAGAATATATGAGGTTGGAATGAGTTAATTTTTATTGAAATTATAGTTAGAATTATTGGAATGAATTTTCTAATTTTAGTTGGAATTTTATAATAACAACCATTTTTACAATAGTTATTACTATATGAACTTCTGTTATAATATGATTGGAATTTTTATTTACACTAATGCGTTGGGAAATATACCATTCGGATGTTAAATCAAAACACTTCAACAGATGATTAATTTAATATATTATATATCAAAATTTGATATTTAATATAAAAATTATTATTTTTTATTCAATAAAAAATTTATAGTTTAACTAGGCAAGTTTATTATAATTTTAAATGATGAGGTCCCCCGAATATGACGGGCTGTGTAGCTGTAACATTGTAGCCTTATCCTTCTCTTATTCTTCTCCCTTAAGCCAGTCTCTGGAAAATTGTCAACATTCATGTAGTTTTGCATAGGATACCCTTTGGACGCGCCCCTCGCTTTCAATTCTAGGTTTTCATCTCTGCCTCTTCAAAAATATTATTTTGAATGAATTATCACAACTTGTATGAGACGCAGGGTGATTTATTTNACACGTGTTCCTAAAATACGTTTTTCTAATTAAATTATTTAAGAAAACGTATTCTTGTAATACATCTTATAATTATATTTTATTAAATAATATTTATATTTTATAAGTTATTATTAAATCAAAAATAATAATTCTAAAACGTATTTTAGTAATACGTTGTCGGAAAACCCTAAATCAATTTTGGGGAATATAAAATGTATTTTCGAAACACGTTTTTAATGAAACCATAAATCAAATTTAGAGAATATAAAACGTATTTTAACAATACGTTTTATATTTCAATAATTTAATAAAAAAACAACTATTATATATTCATTTTATATTATATTAGATTTAATAAAAAATAAATATAAATAAAAAATGTATTTAGAGAACGTATTTTAAGAATACGTTTTTTAAATAAACCAAATCTGAAAACGTATTTTCAGAATCCGTTCTTGAATGAAATATAAATCTTCAGATCCGGATCGGCTTCATTCATTCGCACAGCCCACACTTCCTTTCTTCCTTCATTTATCTTCTTCGTCTACAACAAAGCAAATCCTTTTGAGCTTAAAAAAAATAAGTTTCAACCCTCAATCGCTACGGAAAAGAGGTTAGTTGTTATTTTGATTTAATGTAATTACATTTTTTTGTAATTTATGAATGTGTAAGAAATATTGTTGGGTTAATAAGTATGGTTTTAGAAAAGATTGATTTTTGATTTAATAGTTGTGTTAAATGATTATACTTTGTTCTTGGATGATGGGTTTTTTGGTGTATGTTGAAAATTTATCCCAAATATGGATGAATTCTATGTTAGTGTTGGATTAGGGGGTTTCGGAGGATTATTTGATAAAATAAATTGGGAATATTTTTTTTGGTTGGTAAAAGAATAATTGAATTTTTTGGGTGTTGGATTAGACATTATTTGTTGTTGTAATTGGGAAGAATTGAAAGTGTTTTTTTGCAACAGGTATAAAGGGCGCATTGCGGTCCATACCTTGTTAATTTGTACTTGCATTTTGCGAAGGAAATGTTAAGTGAATTTGTTTTATTTAAAGATCATCCGGATGGTTCATTTCTTATTCCGGGGAGGATATCATATGAAAAATTGGTAGAAATGATTAATGAAAATTTTCGGTTTGGAGAAGGTTGGACATTTCAGGAGATTACTTTAATAGTTAGTCAACCCGATGGTTCGTTGAATTTCACAAGACTCAATAACGATAGTGTTCTTCAGTATATTTATTACTTTCCTCCTATGTCCGTGGTGTATTTGCATTTATCGTTGGAGGCAATTACACCGGTTACACAGGTTGAGGATGTGTGAGGATGTTACAAGGGAGTGGTTGATGTTGAGGGTACGTCGACTTCGCATCTATGTAATTTTGGAGAAGGGACAAGCTCAACAATGGAATGGGAAAATGAGAACTGGAAGAAGAAGAAGGCGATGAAGATTTCATTCCTGGTGAAGATGATTTCACATATGAGACCTCCGAAACCGAATCAGACACATCGATAAATGAGGAGAGTGGACCCGAAATGATTGAAGAAGAACACCCTCTTCCTAGTGGTGGTCGCCACATTTATCGCGAGATGGGTGAATGGGAGACATTGAATATAGATGAGAACGAGTATGCTCTTCAACTTTGGAAGGGCGACATTGAGACCATAGGTTTGGGTACAGTTTTTAAGAGCAAGGAAGAAGCACAATTGGGTATTTTGGCTTATAACGTTGATAGGTTCAGGGCGATTCGGGCAACAGATTTTAATCAGAAGTCATAGAAAGTGGCATGCAGATCTAATAAAGATGAACCTTGTGTGTGGAAGGCTCGGGTGACTAAGAAACGGGTTCATGAAATGTGGGAATTAACTGAATGGACTGACAAACACTTGTATGCAACGGGTCGAGAGAAATGACCACAGAAACGTAACCGCCCGTATGATTTCAAATCTTGTAATTAACAAGATTGAAAATAAACTGGACTACAACATTAGCATGATCCAGGCCAATGTGAAACAGTGCTGGAAAGTCGATGTTAGCTACAAGAAGGCGTGACACGGAAGGAGAAAAGCCATCGAGCGTGTGTATGGCTGTTGGGAATCGAACTTCGCAGAACTCCCTCGGTAAGCAAAAATTAATTACAAATACATGTGTTGTTTGTCTGTCACTATGTTTATCTATTTATGAAACCGTTTTATATACTATATACTATATATTATAAACTATATACTATAAATATCTATATTCAAGGACAAGCATATAATTTGCGTAGAAGTTAATGCGATCGCCTAGCGGCAGGATGGTATTGAAGTCAGCCTTGAGGGTTTGAAACGCCCACACTCGGGTTCGATTCCCCTCAAGTGCGAACCTTCAACCATTTATTTTTAATATGTAAAACGTATTCTTATAATTAATTATACGTTTTACATTTAATTATTTAGAATACATTTTACATATAATTATAAAAAAAAATCCTCTCTTCTTCTCCTTACGCGAACAAAGTTACAGAACAAAAACAAAGAAAAGAGAAAAGCTCGCTCGGCGAAAAGAGAGAAAAATAAAAAAACCCACCGCCGCCCGGTCGCCGCCGCTTGCCGCTGCACTGCCACCACGCCTCCTTCTCGTCTATTAGGTACGTTTCTTCTATTACTCTTTAATTTTGGTGGATTAGAGTTTGAAAAGGTTTAGGTTTCTTCCAATTTTGGTGGATTAGGGTTAGGTTTAGGGTTGGGGTTTAACTAAATTGGGGCAAAATTCAATTTAGGGCTTCGATTAAGGCTTCGATTAGGGCTTTGATTAGGTACCAATTGTATTATAAAGTAGTATAAATCTAGTTACATATGAAATAAAATATATTTGGCAATCTAATAAAATAACATAAGATAAATTTATAATAAAATTGTATGAATGGTATAAAAAATTAGTTAATAATAAAATATGAGAACAGTTGAAGTCAATCAATCTGCTTTAATCAAACTGCCTTAAAATGGAGAAATTTCTTCAATTTGATTAATGTTAGATTCGTGTATTTATTTATTTATTTTCTGGGGGATGTATGTATATGTACAGGCGAAGAAGGTCTTTCAAGTTTCAATATTTACGGTAGTAGAAAAATTAGTAATGCTGCAATAAGTAGGAATTTATTGAGGATTTGACTGCTGTGGACATTATTCAAAAATTGTTTAGTGTTGTTAGAATGAAATTCAGTTTAAAATAGAGGATTTTAAACTGTGCTTATGTGATGTTATAAGTGCCTATGTGATGTTTATAAGTGCCTTTTTTTTCCACTTAATTTTCTGGGCAACACTACTAAAATCTTAGACGCTTGATAAAAAAATGTAAAGCATGTTGCATATGCTGACGAGTGAAATTGATTGTGTATATAATTGTTTGGTAGTTGTAGATAATGGCTTCACCATCGTCGTCGCAGCCTCAGCGATACAGTGTACACCCTTATCTGAGGGATCCCAGTTTTCTAAATTTCAGTACCGTCACTGATCACAGATGGTTTTCGAAGATCAAAAGGGATATCATAGCGACACGGTTAAAAATTGCCGCTACGACACTCAACATCCGTGGGTTTGGGAGGTGATCGACCGTACCGGTTTCGGGCCCTTGTTTCGAATGGGTCGAGCCCAAACCGACAACGACGTCATTACCGGTCTAGTAGAAAGGTGGCGACCGGAGACGCATACCTTCCATTTCGATTTCGGGGAGGCCACAATTACCCTCCAAGATGTACATGTGTTGTTCGGTCTGCCCGTCAGTGGAACTGCTTGTTTGGGAATGACGGAAGATCTAACACCCCAAGCATGGCGTGACAGGTGCAAGGACTTGTTAGAGTTTCAGCTCTATGTCAGGTATATTTTTCCTATAATTTTTTTTAAATTTATGTCCATTGATCAATTATATAGTTTTTAATATATAAAAAACCACTCTCAGGATCCCCCCACCACCCAGGAAGAGGAAGCGGCGCATGATTCCGCTAATTGGACCATTAAAGGCCAGTTTATGAAGGGTTTGGAATTAGAAAGGGAATGCTTTATAGATCTGGGAGATGGACTTCCGGCCAAACGCTATGAGCAGAGGGCGAGGGCTCTTATCCTGTGGTGCCTTGGGTCCTTCTTCTTCCCTGACCAGCGGGCGAATGGCGTGAATCTTTACTGGCTGCAGCTGCTGGAGGACATAGATGGGATTAAGGGGTACAACTGGGGTTCCGCGCTCCTGACCGCAGTATATAGAGCGCCGTGCACCTTCTACAGGGCCGGTCAATGGTGGATCAAGAGTTGTGTGCAATTGATTCAGGTAAGTTTATTTACTTCTTCTTTGAAAATTCATTATTTTTTATTCTAAGTTAGACTAATATTTAATAACAAATTCATATGTCGATATGTGTAGGTTTGGGCGTGGGAGCGTATCCCTCGTATTCGCCTAAAAATGAAGTCCAAGACGCAGTTTGACAGAATGCGTGGTTGTACCTTGGGTGCAAGGTAATAATATTTATTTATATTTAATACGTAGTGTATTTCCATTATCAAAATTTGTTTGCTACAAAGTTTTTTTTTTCTTTTTTTTTTTAATGTGATTTTGAAGGTGGGTGGGAAAAAAGGAATTGATACATGTAGGCAAGGAACGGGTCCTATCCGGGATCAGTTGACGGGGCTGGAAGAGACAGATGTAAGATTCTTAAGTCCTATTGATTTATTTATCCTTGTTTTTTGTTCTTAATTTTTTTTAAAACTTAATTCCTAATTATTATTTTTTTTACAATTCGATTGGCTGCCCTATCAACAGTACCTGGATGCTGGTACTCTCCTGGGTGAGTGTACAGAAGATAAACAATTTTGAATGTACTGGGGGTGGATGTTCTGTTGGAGCAGCCGTGAGCTACACTTGTCTAATAGGGTCATCCGTCAATTTGGGTGTCGTCAGTCCATCCCCCAAAGTCCGATCATTACGGGTGAGCAAGACTGGGACAGACACCACACGCCGGCCAAGGAATGACTGAGAGGGAATTTGGTGATTGGGCCGTCTTTCATTCACTGCTTACGAAGGCCTGGGCCGAAGAAAGAGAACTACATCTCATCCCAGTTGCCCCTGCGTATGACTTCCTGCAGCCAGAGCAGGGTTACCTTGATTGGTTTCACAGTAGGACTGTGAGACTCATCAGTAACCCTGGCAATTACCAGGCGTTCCAACAGGCCGGCGGCTATCAGCCAATTGCCGAGCGGTTAGGGTGCGAGGTAAGTGTTCATAATAATTTGTGGTTTTTATTATTATTATTATTATTATTATTATTATTATTATTATTATTATTATTATTATTATTATTATTTTATTTATGTTGTTTCATACCAATTACTTTGAATTTTATTTTCAGACTTCTGGCCTGGAGGGGGTTTATAACTCGTTAACGAGTATTCAACACTTAATGCCTACACTCCCTCCAAAGGCACTGAACGCATTCCAACAGTCCTTCAACTTTGTCTATACTTATCTGACTGTTGGAGGCCGAGGTGTTATACAAGGGGCATCGTCAAGTCAATTTCTATCCCAGGACGACTACGTTCCATCCCAGAGGTCATAGTCACACACCGCGAGGCATCAACCCGCTGCCAACATTGGTGGGGGTAGAAGACCTCGGGCCCGTGACCGCAAAAATGAAGTTGTCTGAAGAGGGGAACAACAGCAGCAGCAAGAACGACAACGACGCCCAAGCAATCCACCGTCCCCCAGCACCTCCATTCTGGGAACCTCGGGCTTGAAGAATGTGAGATTTATTTACTTAACAAAAAATTATTTTGTTGTCTTTTTTATTTTTTTATTTTTTTCTCAAGTTGAATTTGTGATTTTTTTACTAAATGTATTACTCAGTTGAAGAAGACTCAGGAGAAGAGAATGTGCCGGATTTTGATGATGACACGCCTCTTGCACAGGTCCGGAGGGGGTCCCGACTGAGCAGACCTACAAATCCATTCCCTCCTTCATAGTTAGTTTGTGTTGTATACAGTGAAATTTGTGGACATATTTGTGTGTAAACCTGTATTTTGACTTTTTTGTATATAGTCTTTCTTCAATAAATTATTGTGTTTGATCTTTTTTTATATAGTGTATGTTGGATTATTATTTAGCGAATTGATTGATATTATTTGGTTGAAGTTGGTTTATTTGGTTGTGAAATGGATCCCATTTTTTTTTTTTCTGCAGCGTAAAGCGTATTCCAGGAATACGTTTTATAATTTTTTTTTTATTTATAAACTGTATTTCTAGAATACGGTTTATGGAGAAATTTCAATTTAGGGTAAAATTGAATTGGGGCAAAAATCAATTTGGGGGAAAATTATTTTTTCAATAAAAACGTATTTTAGAAATCCGTTTTTAATTTTGAAAAATTATTTTCTCAAAATAAATTATTTTAAAAATTCTAAAATTAGTTTTAATTACAAAATGTATTTCGATAATCCGGGGTTTTTTTAACATAAAACGTATTTCAGATATACGTTTTTCGCTAATTTAATTATCTTAACTACGTTACTTAATCATGTTAACATAAACCGTATTCCGAGAATACGGTTTATAAATATAAACGTATACTCAGAATACATTTTACAAATAAAAACGTATTTTGAGAATACGTGTGTTTTATTTTTGTCCACCTTTTCTTTTTGTCGAGTTATTTTTTTTTAAATAAATAAATAATTCATGAGACGCAACACATGATAATGTTGAATTAGTTAGGATAAACACAATTACCAAAGTAGTTTGGGAAATTTTCATCTATCCTACAAGATTTTAAAAATATTGCAAAAACACAATTCATAAACAAATAATTACATCTCTACCTAATATGTAATACATAACTACATTAATGCCTAAAGTAAGTTACCATATCCATTCAACTTCCATCCCCCTTTTTGTGGGCTTGATTAAGGGAGAGAAATGAAAAATAATAACTGACTCATTTAATTCCTTAATTCACGTACATTTGTAATTCACGCAGCCGTCAGGTGGTATATTTTGCGTTTATGTTGGTATATATTCAGTATATGTTACAATGAAGAACATGTCGTCCATCAAAAAATTATGTCTTCTTTATTTTTTTTTAATTTTTTTTACTTTTAGACATAAAAGTATATATAAACATATTATAGCAGTTACTTATATTCCATATACAAACAAATATACTGCAAATATACTGTACATATACCCGTCGAACGTCTTCCTGTTAATGTCATGAGAAAATATACCGAGAATATACTGATAATATACCGTCGAACGTCTTCCTGTTAATGCCATGAGAAAATATACCGAAAAGATATTGATAATATACCGAAAATTTTTAACTTTTACATACTATCGAACGTCTTCCTATTAATGTCATGAGAAAAAATAGTGAAAATATACCGAGTATAAACCATACATATACAAAAAAAAAAATCATCAGTTTATGCTTTGTCAATATAAACCATACATACAAATAAGGTAGCCCTTATATTATACAGAACATATACCCTATATATACATAACATATACCCGATTAATTCATGGCCCCCACCCACAGTCTCCAATTTCCAGTTTTTTCTTCCATCGTCTCGAACTCTTCTGCTTCACCACCTCCATCGCGTACTCCACTTGGAACAGCCGCCCCGCCGGCAACCACGTCGTCTCGTCGGTGTCGTATTGATTCCTGAACATTGTAGCGGATTTTCAAAATTCCCGAGATGCGTGCAGCGATTTATGTCTGCCTTTCTCGAAAATCCCGGCGGTGGAGGCTCGTCGGCGACGGCTCGTCTCTTGGCTTCAGACTTGATCGAACGTCGCCCGAGGGAGAAGGAGTTGCCGTTGTTCGGGCCCCCTGGTTCTCCCTTGCTGCACGGCGATTGGAACTCGCGGCTTCACGGCTATGGCCATGGTTGATCGGACAAGAATCTGATGAAGACGTCGTGCGGCTATGGTGGATCGACGAAGAGGGTTGAGAAACTGTTTTCTCTAAAATTCTGATGATGATCGATCAATTAATTAGACGAAGGGTTTTATGAGATTTTGAGCGAAATCGATCGATCAGGAAGAAGAAGGATTCTGAAATTTGGGGCAAATTATAGAAGAAGGAGATGAGAGGGAGAGAGAAGAAGAAGACGAATAGAGAGAGGGATAGAGAGAGAAAGCGTGTGATAATTATAGATCCCACTAAATCTGCTTTTACCATATTTCAATAATCTAGTATGTTTGTATATAAATATGATAGTTTTAGTTAATTTGCAAATAAATATATATGAGTTATAATTATGTAATAAAAATGTTAAGATGTAGTGGAGGGTGTAATTTCCTCAAGAAGTTTTGGTGATCTTTGCTCCGTTTTATACATGTGGTCATGTTTGTGCATTTGTGTGTGTTAATTGATATTGGACTTTTTGTGGTTTTAATTTTTCGTATTGGGTCTATTCATTTGCTACTATGTTGTGTTTTGGGTTGTGTTATAAAGAATCTATAGAGTAAAATACATGAAAAAGGAAAAAAAGAAATGATACACAATTGTTGAATTAGTCACCTTAATTAACTTTGTACTTGCATATATATATATATATATATATATATAGGGAGTGGTTCAAATAAAAATTAGTCCTGGTGTGAGAACCGTGAGAACCGTATTTGATGCTATTTTTTACTGTGTATGATACTATTTTTAATATCACATGGTGCTATCATTTTCACAAATGCTAATATAAATTGTGTTGCTATTTTTAAGAAAATAAATCCATGTTAAAAATAGCATTAAAACACAACAAATCATAACACTACTTGCAACTATAAATAGCGGTTCTCACGCTAGGACTTTGTTTTCATTTGAACCACATCCTATATATATATATATATATATATATATATATATATATACATAGGGATGCGTTCCGGTGAGAATGATACTCAGTGAAAGAAATAAAAATAAATCATAGTCATCGGATCGGATGATCAAACGGCTGAAAAAAAAATTCAAAATCTTACACCCACTAAGGATAATTTGGACATTATTATTATTACACAACCAGCTAATCCACGTCACAGCTGGACCCACGCCACATCATCCTCCACCTACCCACCTGATATGGCCACATAAGGATAACCCGGTCCAGAAGCTTATTACTCGACCGGCGAACCACTCGAATTACTCGCCCGTCGACATGACTCCGTCGACATGCCCAAATCGACTTCCCAAAGGTCGATTCTACTAAGAGCAATCAAGAAGAAGCCGAGATTGATCTAGTCGACTTTCGCAAGTCAACCTTAATCTACTGACTTTCACTAATCGACATCAATGAAGGAGGAACAGCAAAGCTCCCGGTCATCCAGATATTCTAAGTCGACCCCCAGAAGTCGACTGAACTAAGACGACTCTCTGAAGACGACTCCGCCTCAAAGAACTAGTCAAGCGTAGCCTCCGAATCCGCACATATCTACGAGTCGACTTCCTAGATCTCGAAGTCGACTTCACATACCTTAAATAACAAAGATGTGATGACGATTCACCACACTTGCAACATATCCAAAGCCCTCCACATCAGGAAAGATAAGAAGGAATCTCGCGATGACTCAGCAACAAAGGGGAGACGAATCGACAGGGGCATTTTGGACCTTCTAGGTCCACCGACTTGGGCATTTTGGGCACTTCACGTAAGTATTCACTCTTATATAAAGGAGATGAGGTAACCCTAAAACCCTAACTCTCATTCATTCCCACTCTTCCCCATAGCTGTTGCGCAGCCCCTCTTCATCACTCTCATACTGACTTGAGCGTCGGAGGCTCTACGCCGGAAACACCTCCGGCGTTGAGTGTTTGCAGGTACTCGTGCGGTCTAGCAACGGTTTCAAGGCGGTTCAAGCAGATCTGAGCTCACAACCACCGGTTTACTTCAGATCTAGAAGTAGACCCATCATTTGGCGCCGTCTGTGGGGAGTTCTTAAAGGAAGAAAGAGCTTCACACCCAGTTCCGATCTGTTTGCCAATGGCGGAGAAGGAGAGCTTGCAGAGGAACCTGAGCGAGGAGTTCAGAGGGACGTGGATGGACAAGAGGCCACCACCACTTCCCACCACCAAACACTCCGTAGTTCAGATGACGGGAATGCCGCCGTTCGGAGGACTTCCACCACCCGGGCTGACGTTGGGCGGAGAAACGCCTGTGACTCCAACCGGCGTGAAGTTACAAGTGTTGACTCAGGCAGGAACAAGTCAAAACCCTAACCCAGATGGGGAAAAGGAGCCAACGGAGGCCTCTCGACGCGAGGGAAAACAGATACAGGAGGTCCCGGAACAGACGCAACCCCGCGTCGAGGAACAGACTCTGACAATGACGAGGAGTGAAATGCAGAAGATGATTGCTGAAGCCGTGGCGGCCCAGATGAAGCATATAGCGCCGGTAGAACAGCAGCCCAGAGTCGAGTGTCCACCTCGAGTCGAGCACCAGCCTCGCGTCGAGTACCCCCCTCGAGTCGAGCAGCAGCCGCGCGGCGAGCAACAAGCCCAGTCGAATGTGCAACAGAACAGAAGGGTAGATGAAGAGGAATCCTCCATTCGAACCGTTAATCCACAGGCAAGGGACGAGACGTTGGAGCAACTGCTGGCACAGGTTCGCGACCTGCAAGCTCGAGTCGACGGGAGGAAGAGCAGAGGAGCCAAAGAACACCCATTCTCACAGCAGATCCTAAGAGCCGACTTACCCAAAGGCTTCAGGGAGCTGAACATATGGTATGACGGTACCACAGATCCATCTCGACATTTGAGGAGTTTTGAAAATATGGCCGTGCTTCATCGTTACAGCGACCCAGTACAATGCCGCGCCTTCCTGACGACTTTGACAGGGTCGGCCCAAGACTGGTTCCATCAACTTCCAGCGGGGTCGATTCGGGATTTTGATGGGTTCAGCTCGAGTTTTCTTAACCAATTCGCAAGTGTGAGGGTGCAGGAGAAATCTTACCTCTCGTTAATTAGCATGCAACAGAAGAAAGGCGAGTCATTACGGGAATATGTGGCGAGATTTACAAAGGCGTGTGTCGAATGCCCAACGACGACAGAGGAAATCAAGTCGGGAGGGTTGACGAGAGGACTGCTACCAGGATTGTGTAAGAATTCCTTGGCCAAACGACCTGGTAGGAGTTTCGACGATGTGCTGGGAAGATGTGCCAAATACATGAACGTCGAGGAGGCCGAGGCCGACTACTTGCAGAGCATGAAGATGACTCAAACTGACAGTCGAGACGACAGGAAGGAAAAGAAGTCGACAGGAGATAGGAGAGGGTCCCCGAGAGCTGATAGGGGTGAAGGCAGGTCTAGAGGATGGAGACCAACTCAATACACACCTTTGTCGGTTCCCCATGCGAGAATTTTGGAAGTTATGGAAAGGGAAATCCGCGACGATGTGGTAAGATGGCCGCGGACGAGGAAAGATGGACCTCTGAAGCCCAAAAGCAACCTATACTGCCGATTCCACAAAGACTATGGGCACAACACAGACGACTGTCGACACTTAAAAGACGAGATTGAGAGGTTGATAAAGGCGGGTCACAAGAAGGAGTTTATATATAAGGACCGAGAGAGGACGAGTAGGAGACGAGAACGAAGTAAGAGCCCTCGCAAGAGGGCGAGATCACCAGAAAAGGAGGAACTCCCACCGAAAAGAGGAGTCATTAACATGATCTTCGGAGGGTCGACTGATGGAGACTCTAATCGGGCGAGAAAGGCCTACGCTCGGGGCCGATACGCGAAAGTCGAGGTGCAACAAGTCGAGGAGAGTGGACCAGTGATGAATTTTGGACCGGCGGATGTTGGAGAAGTCGAGAGGCCGCATAACGACGCCTTAATGATAACAGCGCATATATCAGGATACGAAGTACAAAAAGTGTTTGTCGATACAGAGAGTTCAGTGAACGTAATTTTCTATGATTGCCTCAGAAGGATGGAGCTGGACATTGAACTGACGCCCCTACATACGTCACTCTTCGGATTCAATGGCTCAGAAGTCGCTCCCCTAGGAGAAACCATGCTCGCTGTCGTCCTAGGGGAAGGTGACTTGAGGAAAGTCAAAATGGTGAGATTTGTTGTGGTGGATGTCGAGTCGGCTTATAACGTGATTTTGGGGAGACCCGCGCTCAACGCGTTTCAAGCAGTTGTGTCAACCTATCACATGAAGCTGAAGTTTCCAGTAGGAGATCGAGTGGGAGAGGCTCGAGGAGATCAAAAGTTGTCGAGAACATGCTACCAAATCGCAGTCAAAACCAATCAGCGTACCGAAATCAAAGAAGGCAAAAAACCAATGACGAGCGAGAAAAGGCCGAGGGGGAGTGACCTCGAGCCTCACGGAGAATTGATGGAGATTCAAATTGGGGAGTCGAGAGAACAAACCACCAAAGTCGGGAGAGAATTAGAGGACGAATTACGAGAACAGTTGGTGGGATTGTTGAAAGAATTCAGGGATATATTCGCCTTTTCACCTGAAGAACTAACTGGAATCGACCCAGAAGTGATGGAGCACAAACTCAACATCGACCCCCTCAGAAAACCTGTGAAGCAGCGACTCAGGCACCATGGCGCTGAAATCGACAAAGCAATCGAAGTCGAGGTGGATAAGTTGCTGAAAGCCAAACATATCAAGGAGATCCAATTCCCCGAATGGATATCTAATACAGTTATGGTGAGGAAGGCATTGAACAAATGGCGTATGTGCATCGACTTCCGCGACTTGAACTTGGCATGCCCTAAAGATCATTACCCCTTGCCGAGGATCGATCAGCTAGTCGACTCCACAGCTGGCTGCGAGTTGTTGAGCATGATGGACGCGTCGCAGGGATACCATCAGATTCCTTTGGCACCGGAGGATCATAGTAAAGTGAGTTTCGTGACGAGCAAGGGGACATATTGCTATGTCGTCATGCCCTTTGGCCTCAAAAACGCAGGAGCAACCTACCAGCGATTGATGGATCGAATGTTCAAACCTCAAATCGGCCG